ATAAAATTCATATAAATAGGCATAGAACTTGTTATTACTCGGCACCATGGCTTTCACTTACAAATAAAATTCTGAAATGATTTGTTATTGTAGAGCTAATTTCTTGCTGGAAAGTAAATTCTTACTGATTTTTGGGTATCTCACCAGTAGATATTTACTAGGTCACTCATATTACCTCTTGTGGAGGTCCAGCCCTCACAGAGGGTATCAGGATAGAGGGAAGATGGAATGAAAAGAAAGAAGACAGGGTCAGGAGGTCTGGGCTGCTGGTCCAGCAAATGGGTTTATTTTGCTTCAAACTTATCTACAGAAAATCTTGGTCCTGTACCCAACATTTGTCCCCGGTAACTCTAAGCCTTCTCTGGGACCAGAATGGTTTCCCAGGCCAAGCTGATAAGCAGAAGATACAGAATCTGCCCTTGGGCCTGTTGCCCAGACTACAGGATAAGGAAGCTGGGCACCTTGCCACATTTTCCTTCCTTATCAGACTGTCTCTTCAGCAAGGCCAAGCCTTTTCACCTGGGCTCCACCAACCTCTGTCCAGCCTTCCTATATAAGTAAAGAAGTACCTTACTTCCTCTTTCCAAGGCAAGTAGAGATTCCAACTAAATGACAAAGAAATCCTTTTCCCCCTGGATGATTCTTGGACCCCTTTAATCTCTTCTCCACTCCCAGGAGAGGTAAGCATTATGCTGCCTCAGGTCACTGTGGAGGCTTTGAGATCATAATTGTGGAACCATTATGCTACACCCCCACTCAGAGTTCTCAGCTTCAGGGCCAAGGTTTAGGTGATGTCACACAGCCTAAAGACTTTCTGGGTCCAGCCTGGTAGTGGTGTACACCTATAACCCTGTACTCGGAAGGCTGAGGCTTGAGGATCATTGTGAGTTTGAGACCAGCTGGTGCTGCAAAAGGAGTTCAAGGTGAGCCTGAGCTGATGCTGCAAAGGTGAGTTCAAGGTGAGCCTGCATACTGAGACTGTTTCAAAAAGATTTTTTAAAAAAAGTCTTTGTTTCCTGGACTGGTTTCAGGTTGGGAGGATAGGAAACAGAAGGACAAACCTGCTTTAATTCTGAGGACCAGATTTAATTAGCAACTGCTAAACCTTGAGATATTTTCAGGGTGATAAGTTGATCTTATTTATTCCTTTTAACCTACAATATAATGCTCTGTCGTATGAAAATATTTTATTGTACATATTGATGGGCATCTACATTCTGTGTAATTTTTTGCTGTTTTAAATACTATATACATGAACATCCTTCTTCAGTATATTTTTTAATGCACATGTATGAGAATTTTGCTATAGTAGGTATCTTTAAATTTTTGGAGGGGCCAGGGAGATGGCTTAGTGGATTAAGTGCTTCCCTGGCAAGCATAAGGGCCTGAGTTCAATCCCTGGTTCTGCCAAAAAAAAAAAAAAATTAGGAGGCTGGGGAGATAGTTCAATAGAATGCCAGGCAAGCACAGGGTCCTGAGTTCAATCCCTGGTACTGCAAAAAATAAATAAGCAAGTAAATAAATTTTTTAGCAGCTTACCCCACACACCAGAAGAAAATTTCCTCATTATACATTTTAGAGTTGAATATAACTTACTATGTGAGTAGAAGCAAAGGAAATAATTTCCTCGGAAGGTAAATAACTTTTAAAAATAAAAATTTTTAACTGTATCCAATGGAATATAGCTATAATAGTAACTCGGTACTGTTACCATGTGATGCATTCAGCAGATAAATTCCAGGCTTTTTTGTACAACAGCAAAATTCTAAGGGCACGTTCCAAAAGGCAAGAGAAAAGCAGATACACTCATGGAAGATCACAGGAAGTTGTGCTCAGGGCAAGTCCATGTTGACCAAAATATGGCACGGAGAAGTGGCTATGGGATGACAGAAAAAGCAAAACCACTGCACACAGCACACAGCACACAGCACACAGCACACAGCACAGTGCCTGATGATGGGCTTTCGGAGTTTAAAGAACATGCATCTCAGCCGGGTGCTGCCTCCCGAGGCTCTACTATGACTGACAAGAATTGACAGGGTGCTGTGGCATCTGAGGGGCTCTCAACACACGTGCTTGTCCCAGAATTCACTCTGATCTTAATTACCTTTATAAGATGTAGTACATATTCTTGAAGGCTTAGTAAGGTTTGAGAAGGCCAAAGGTGACTAAAAGCAGATCCAGTGGTGGCATGTTCTCTTGTCTAGGGTGGCAAAGATCTCCTCGGGTTTTGCTATGGTATTCCCTACCTCTCTTAGGACAATGGAAAGAGGAGTGCTGGCAAATCTACGGTACATTAGAGCAGTTGTTTTTTCTAAACTGAAAATCCAATATTGAGGTTTAATTGCAGTGTTGGCACTTTGCAATACATAAGAGGACGTGGGGTTGCAATTTGGGTACTTGGCCTTTAACAGGTTTGCCATCGCTGCCCTAGAGTGCCCTTTAAATCTAAGAGGAGGGCAAGAGAGATAGCGACATAAATGCCTTCCTGGCAAGAGCAAGGTCATGACTTCAATCCCTGGTACCACCAAAAGAAAAAAAAAAGTTAGAAACTGTTTTCAGGGGACTGGATTAGTGATGGTAACCATCTAGCTTTTAGACCTGTCTGTTCACTGAAGTTATCTATAGATCTGATATTGTTTTGTCATGAGGAAGATGAAGATCATGGTGATTTTCAAAGGATGATTTTATCTAAGGAATACGAAGACTGTTATTGAACTTTTATAGCTTTCACTTTAGCTTGTTAGCCTTATTGAATCATGACAGTGATCAGCTACATGGACAGCTGGAAACTGCCAGTAGAAGTCTGTAATTGGAATCCCCTTCTTATATTTTGCCTTTTTTTTTTTTTTTTTTTGTGGCTGGCTCAGCCGGCCCAGGGGACAGGGCTGGCTCAGTGTGTGGTGCTGGGGATCGAACCATGGTTCCTGCGCTTGCCTAAGTTTGCCTATGCAGGCACTTTAGACCTCTGAGCTACTCATCAGCTCTGCCTTTCTTATTATTTTTTATGGTTTTTTGGTGAGTGTTTAGGACCAAGTTAAAGTGAGACCTGTGTTAATTAAAATTAACTTTTTGTTGTTTTCAAGGCCAGTTAAGTCTTTTTAGACATTATATTTGGAACTGTTTACGGAACCTCTCAGCTTTTCTGTCAGTGTTAGCTGCCAGGATGGGTCAGGGTTTTGCTTAGCCATGTGACTTTTTGTGAAAGCATCAGAGATTTTTTTATGGGTTTTTTTGTTTGTTTTTGGTGACTTTTTTTTAGCACACTATATATCGGTTGACTTTTGTTTGCGGGAGAGTCTAACATTCTCTCTCTCTCTTCAGGAGATTGGTGACTTACCCAATCATTTAGAAAATATCTCCTCATGTTCTGGTTTTTTGTTGGCCTTCGAGGACTGTCCTTTTAGCCCCGTTTTTAGCTCTGGTCTCTATGCCTTAGTGATTGAATAGAGATTGGTTATAGTATTTTATAGTGGGAGCAGTATGTTTAATTTTATTTTATTTACATATTGAGCACCTTGAATTATATAGTTTGGCTAATGGACTGTCAACAGATAGCAATTGTTAGGCTGGTGAGATGGCTCAGTGGTCTAAAGCACCTACTTAGAACAAGCTTAGCAAAGCACAGGAACCACGGATTCAATCCCCCAGCACCACATGCCAGTCAGCCCTGCCCCCTGGTGGGCTGAGCTGGCCACCCACACACACACACACACACACACACACACAAATAAATTTTAAAAAAATTAAAAAAAAAACAGATAGCAATTGTCAAGTTTTACAGGGAGAACAAGATCAAAGGCAGCAACATGGTAGCACGACAATCTTGATGGCATTATCTCTGAAATGCTTTTAAATTTCCATTTTAGTATAAAGTAACTTTTTAGCTGGGTGTGGTTATATACACAGATAACACCAGAATTTGAGATGTTGAGACAGGAGAACTGCTGTGAGTTTGAAACCACTCTGAGCTACATAGTGAGTTCAAAGCCATCCTGAGCTACATACCTGTCTTGGAAAACAACAGCAAAACCAAAATAAAACAAAACAAAAGAGACCCTTTCAATCAGTCACCTTTAAATATAAAATACTAAATGACAAAGGCACTTTTATTTAATTTGTTATCTTTTACCATCTTTTCTTTTTCTTCTTAATCTTTGTTTGGTATGTGGTCTCTCTATGCAGCTCAGTTTCGTAGTGATCCTCCTGTCTCAGCCTCCCTAGTGCTGGGATTATAGGCGTGCACTACCATGCCTGGTTTTAGTGGCCTGCACAACATGTGATACTGGGGATCAAACCCGGGTCCTTGCACTTGCCAGGCATGCACTTAGACCGCCGAACTATCTTCCCAGCCCTTGTATCTTTTCTTATCAGAGTGATACTTAAGTAGAATGTAGTTGTGTATGGATGTACTTTGCAGGTTACTGTTATGGCTTGTGTCTAATATTCCCCTAGAGCTTCATGCAGTCATAGTGGGTTGTTTTCATAGGTGGCTGAATTAAGAGTATGTGATTGTCTCCCCCCGCCCCCGGGTCAGAGTGCCTTTATTGGTGAGTAGGCACAGTTGGGGCAGCGGGCCATGGCAGGCTCAGTGGCCACATAGCAGCATGTCCAGGACCCCAAGGGCAGTAGTTTTCAAGGCACTGGAGTGGCCCACACAGGCAGAAGCAAGGAGCAATGGCCCGGTACTGCTCTCCCCACAGCAGGGCTGGGTCCTTGAGGTGGGCCAGGCCAGCCAGGTCCCCTGCAGAGCCACTGCAACTCTGTTATCTTCTCCGGTGGGACTTAGTGAGTTTTTATTTTTTATTTTTTATTTATTTGTGTGTGTTGTGTGTGGTGTGTGTGTGTGTGTGTGGCCAGCTCAGCCCACCAGGGGGCGGGGCTGGCTGGCATGTGGTGCTCGGGGATTTGTTCTAAGTAGGTGCTTTAGACCACTGAGCCATCTCACCAGCCCCCTTAGTGAGTTTTTGACAGTAGATCTCTTTGGTGAAGGGCTTCTCCTACAGACTGGCAACCACATAGACAAGGACCACCACCACTGTCAGCAGCAGGCCTGTGGGACTGGTGTGCATGAGGGTCCAGCCCAGGTAGTTGGCTGTGCTTCCCCAGTATCTGGGGTTGTCCAGGATGCTGAAGGGAAATGTGGTCCCTCTGGTCTCCTTGAGGATCCTGAAGTAATCACCTGAGAAGGATCCAGTGAACCCCAGTGTGAAGAAACTGGAAAGCACAGACACGGTGCCCACACCCAGGAGTGCAAGGCCCAGGAGGTAGGTGGTGGTATTATTCAGGCCCTCTGTCTTGGGCTGGCTCAGCATGGCCTGTGTGAAGCAGCGTGAGTGTAAGACACTCAGCAGCTGGATGATGCCACCCGGAGAGTAGCAGGCCAGGTGTGGGGATCTGAGGGCGCTGCTCAGTTTGCAGATTCTGTGCTCCCATCTTGCAGCCACATTCCATAAAAATGGATTGGAAGCAATGGTGAGGACAGCTGCCATGAAGCTGAGATCCAAAGGATCCACATAGTGCAGCAACCAGGTCATGATGCAGAGGCCTGCCTGTTGTCTCAGTTACTCAAGAGTGTGTGATTGTTCGTGGTACAATATTAGGATTAAAGGTGCTAGGATTAGGGGCTGGGGAGATGGCTCAGTGGAATAAGCACTTCCCTGGCAAGCACAAGGGCCTGGTTCAATCCCTGGTTCTGCAAAAAAAAAAAAAAAAAAACGCTAGGATTAAGGGTGGGTGATTACTAAATCAGTCCACTGATTCACTTGACGTCACCCTAATCTCAGTAAATACAATATAAGGGACAGAAAGAGGCTTATCTTGACTCTTGCTTGCTTTGCACCTTCTGCCTGCCATGAACTGTTTCTCCTCTGCAGTGCCCATCCACCGTGCCACCCTGTCTTGGAGCAACCTATTAAGGACTAAAACCCGTACAAATAACCCTGAGCTAAATAAACCTGTCCTCCTTTAACACTGGTTTTGTTTTTTGTTTGTTTGTTTTGCTGTACTGGGAATTGGACTCAGGACCCTGCGCTTGCCAGGCAGGACCTTATTCTACCGAACTATATCCCCAGCCTTCCCTTTAACTTTGTGTATAAGGCATATGTCTCAGCAATAAGAGAAAAGTAACTAAGACAGTTATTAATGTCTAACCTTTAATTTTTAGAGTGGCATTGTCTGGACCACACAGTATTTGAACATCTTTTACTGTTGTAACACATATACAACATACATAACAATCACAAAGCACAAGCCTAAAAATGAGTATGTGTCACCTGGCTGTCTTTCTCACATTAGACTGGCATGCCAATTGTATCACAAGTAGTTGGAAAACAAATATTGGAAAGTCCTATGTTTGAGCCTGAAAAAGTGTATCACCATAAGTAACCTTACCCTAACAGTCACCGCTGTGATATGATACTTTAAGTTGATTTCAAGGCCTGTATACTTGGAAAACATAAACATATCCTTTATTTTTTTAAATTGTTTTATTTATTTATGTGTGTGTGTGTGTGTGTGTGTATGTGTGTGTGTATGTGTGTGTGTGGCCAGCTCAGCTCACCAGGGGGCGGGGCTGGCTGGCATGTGGAGCTGGGGGATTGAACTGTGGTCCCTGTGCTTTGCTAAGCTTGTTCTAAGTAGGTGCTTTAGACCACTGAGCCATCTCGCCAGCCCCCATATCCTTTAATATATCATGAAGTTAGTAATAATTTCTATCACAGGGGCTGCTGAGATGGCTCAGTGGTCTAAAGGGGAGGATGAAAACAGGAGAATCACTACAGGTTGGAGCTGCATAGTGAGACCCTGTACCAAGTACATTAAAAAAAAAAAAAAAAACACATAAATAACGAAAAGAAATTGTTGCACTCAAAAAACTTATTTTTTTTTCTTTCTTTCTTTCTTTTTTCTTTTCTTTTTTTTTTTTTTTGGTAGAACCGGGGATTGAACTCAGGCCCTTGCGCTTGCCAGGGAAGTGCTTATTCCACTGAGCCATCTTCCCGTCCCCAAAAACTTATTTTTAAATGAAGCAACTGCAACTAACCAGGTTTATATTATTTTATTTTATGTATTTAGTACAGCATCTCACTACACAGATTGGACTCATAGTGATTCTCCTGTTTTCAGCCTTCCAAGAGCTGGGATTATAGGCATGTGCCACCATGCCCAGTCTCAATCCAGGTCTCTGCGTGCCCCAGAGATGGGCCGGCACCACACACCCAGGACTGAACCCCCGGTCTCTGTGTCTCCCTAAGAAGGCACTTTCACCCGTTGAGCCTGGGCTACAAAGTGAACTCAACACCATCCTGAAGTGCATGGAGAGACCCTGTCTCGCAAAGACAACAACGACAAAACCTTGTTGTGGTAAATTGCATTGTGAGGGACAAGGCAGTGGAGTGGAATGGAGAGGACTAGAGTGATTCTGCATAGCACAAGAACTAAATCCTAACCATCTCAAGGGCAGAAGGACAATCGAGACCAAAAGCTTTTCCATTGAGTCTCTAGTCCTCAGCAAAACAGGCCTCCAAAGGAAACAGCTACTGTGGGCTCTGACTGCATGGCTAGAACAGGACCAACTGAAGATGCTCCTTTAAGTTTTATTGTTTGGGGCTCATTAATATTCATGTTTTTAGAAGTAGCTCTATGTGTCACCCAGAAATCAGCTCTTTTCACTGTGTTTCAGAAGGGGGGTCTCTCCTGCTGGTCTCAGGGAAAGCCCTGCCCAGGTGCTCTGTTAGCCAGAACCCTTGTGTGTACCTTCCTGGGTGAGCATGAATTCTGATTCCCCTTTAACCCAAGGACAGGGGTTTTGTTGTCTGTAAAAGAATATCTAAGGGGAAAGAAAAAAAAAAGAATGTCTAAGGGGCAGGGCCAGCCAAATAGCTCAGCAGATTAAAGCACTACAAGCAGGCGCAGGGGCCAGGGGTTCAATCCCCTGGACCTGCCATGCTGGCTCCACCTCCAGGGTGTGCTGAGAGGGTAATTGAGACTGGGTGTGCTGGCTCACACCTGTAATCCCAGCTCTTGGGAGGCTGTAAACACACAGATCACTATGAGTCCGATCTAGTAGTGAGACCCTGAATACCCTGTAGACCCTTCCCTAAAAAAAAAAAAAAAAAAAAAGAATGTATAAGGGCCAGCAAGATAGCTTAGCTAACTAAGCACCTACTTAGGCAAGTGCACGGACCGGGGTTCAATCCCCAGCTTTATATTCTGTGCTCGCCCCACCACAGGGCTTGCTGAGTCAGTCATCATGCCTGGGTGTGGTGGTGCACCCCTGTAATCCCAGTGCCGGAGAGGCTGAAAACTGGAGGATCACCACAAGTCTGAGGTGTGTAGTGAGACCCTGTACTAAATACATAAAAAAGAGGCCAGGGAGATGGCTCAGTAGAATAAGCGCTTGTCTGGCAAGCACAAGAGTGTGAGTTCAATCCCTGGTTCTGCCAAAAAAAAAAAAAAAAAAATTTTAAAAATGTCTATTTTGGTGCTCTTTTAGGTGAGCGCCCATCTTCTAGGGGTTCAGATGATATTCCGGATTGCAAAGCAGAGCACATCACCATTTCTTGAGGTACTGATAAAAGCCATCTCTAGCAGAGGTGATGAGCTTCCAAAACCAGTCCTATACCCTCTGGCTGAATCCTTGGACATACCAGTGCAAACCATTAGCCAAAAAACCATCCTAAAAGCTATCTGCAGTAGACCCATCTCACAACAACTGAATAAGTTAAGAACACAAAGCCCTGTTCGCAAAATAAAAATGTCCTATTGTAGGAACCTATGTCACAATTTTTCATGCTCTCAACTTTTTAACATGGTGTGAACAACTAATGTGTTATTACCTAAATGAGTCAGAATCCATAATCCAGTCAAAAATATTTAGGGATGCCATTAAACAAAAACTAACTTTAATTTCCCTCCAATGATCTCACTGGAGTTTCCAAAATGATAGAGGTGAAATATAACTCCCAACCTGCTACATGTTAGATGTGCTGAATTTCTGTCTTTCAAAATTGAAGAGGCCCATGGAGATAGCTCAGTAGAATAAGTGCTTGCCTGGCAAGCACAGGGTCCTGAGTTCAATCCCCGGTACTGCCAAAAAGAAAGAAAAAAAGAAAGAAAGAAAGAAAAGAAGGAGACGGAGATGGAGAAGGAGAAGGAGAAGGAGAAGGAGAAGGAGAAGAGTAAGATAGCTCCTGAGAGACAGGAGGAATCCCTAAAGTGGGTTGTTATTGAGGCCCTTTGTCAGATAATTTATGTGGCAAAGACACAATGTGTACAACATGGATCAAACTATAATCAAGCTCTAGGATTACAAGTATAGCTGCTTAGCTAATACTGACCCAATAGGAGTGAGGTTCATGTAGTGAGAGTATGTGGAAATAATAGAGCGAAAACTAAAAAGGACATGATCATCTCAATTGATGCAGATAAGGCTTTTGACAAAGTCCAACACTCATTCATGTTCAAAGTCCTACAGAAAATTGGAATAGATGGCCTCTACTTCAATCTGGTAAAAGCCATTTAT